TCTTTTTAATTTCGCGCAAAGGGCTATCTGCTCTAGCCGTTCCTAATTTAGCAGTGAAAGACTGGAGGGAAGGCAGTTAGTCATCACCGCCAACTCTTGGGCAAATATTTTACCAACGAATAATGGAATTACCTGAAACATTATAACGCCCCCACGGCTGTAAGGGCGAGCATGTTTGGTGGAACGGGGATTCGAAACCGCGACCTAACCATCTGGCTATGCTGGGCCGTTTAATACAGCATAACTTTATTTATTGAATATGTTCACCTATGGACAATAATGTTATTATCCAATATTAAATCAAATTTAAACCACGAAGCTATTATTTTGAACCTGGTATAGGTTTATGTTGTGTTATGTTTTATTGAACAATTATATTTTAAGCCTACAATATATTTGTTCTGGGTTCTGTTTAACAAAACAATCATAACAACGAAATATCTTTTTCAAAAACCTGATAATGAGAAAAAGAAATATATATACATACATATGTGGATGTTTTATTAAAAACAAGTAATCATTAGAAACTAGACAATTATTGTTGCTATTATTTGATCATATGAAAATACCTCAAATAACTGTATACTACCGACAACAAAGTGGGTGGGCTTTTGCGAAAAAAAATTCCTATGTACCTCGAGTAAACGGTTCTTCATTTGAGGCATTAAGGTAAAGGTCGTGAGATGCCCTCTTGTAATTCATGTATCCTTTTCGGACCGGTAATCAATACATAAATAAGCTTCGGGTGCTGGAGAATCGGGGGCGATGAAACATATCTTAATTAATCGTTCAATCATTTCCTGTAGATCTGCGCCCCCACCCCGATCCTTCAATATATTTTGCTAAAATAGTTTGTTCACCTTTAGGAGAATTTGTTGGATTTGCGTACAACTTTCACATTAATATCGAACGCTGTCTATCGAATTTCGTGTAGACACTAGCGTACAGCCCGTCAAAAATGACGGTGCCGGTACTACCACTCCCACCCCATAGTATACCCTAACCTCATTTTTCATAGCTAACTGAAATATATAAATTTTGCGAAATCAAGCTTAACCAAAACAGAGGCGGAAAAGTGCAGTCGATGCAGTCAAACGTTGGTAAATTCCTTTGAGAGCCAATCAAAATTAAGATCATTCATGAAATGAATTC